AAAAAAAAAAAAGAAAAGAAAAGAAAAGAAAAACACACTGAAAATAAAAGTCAAAGAAGACAAGTTCAGCAACTAAACGGATCAAAAAAGAAGTACAATCATTGCTTCACAGCACTGAACATCTGTCAGGGTGGAAGACAAATGTTTTGTTCCTTTCATTGTGTTTTTTTTTCTGTCTTGTGTGTTTACATTGATGAGATCTTGAGAAATGTAATAATGCCTGTAATTCAGGTCTGTGTTATGAATGAACCAAACATGCCTGCCCTGCGTGCAGCTCAGAGAATATACAAACACACACGCATACTGCTAGATGCTTGCAAGAGAAGCACCTTGAAATACTCATGCTCATTGTGGAGCTCCATACACACCTAGATGCACAGGTACACACACACTCACACACACACACACACACACCAACACATCGTCTATATCAGCAACAGCAGAGTGGGCAAACCTGGAGCACTGAGGGGTGGGAGGGCAGAGCTTTTTACAAGCTATCTCCACACAAAAAGAAACAGGACGGGAAGAATGACAGGAACTAAATGTGTGTGTGTGTGTGTGTGTGTGTTGAAAGACCGAGAGAAAAAGACGAAGAAGAGTAGAGAGAGAGAGAGAGATGGGTTCCACATTCAACACTAACCTAAGCCAACTCATTCCCTCAATTATACACGGTGGGTTCTCTTCTGGTCAAATTTGTTATTAGTTTCCAAATGAGACATTTTCCATTACTCTGCAGAGAGGGTTCCTGCAGTCTGCTAACTCTTATTGCCCTCTTGAGGCACACAGCACATGACCAGCCCCTATCATACATCCTGTCATGTATCCCAGCCTCCAGCGCACCTTGCACAGTAATAAGACACATGTAGCCCGCATCGGTGACTTCGCCGCAGCCCTGCTGTCTCATAACTGCAATATAAATCAGCACAAAAACACCAGTTGGTGCTGTCACTCATGAAAGAAATCCAAGTTTCTCCTGTCAGTTCTCGGCATCACAACCAATATTTACCCCTTGGTTGATTGACAAGGAAAATGCCAGGCGTGGGCTGGTGATTCAAGAGAGGCCAAGTAATGGGACTCTTTCTATGTTGGAGATGTGAGGTGGGCGACTTAATGACTAGGGGAGACGTGGTGGGCGAGATGCCTCCATTGTGTTGCCCGGCCCGCGCGAGCGTTGCTGTTGCTCAGCTGGTGGAGTGCTGCACGCTGTTAATTAGCCAGACGCTCCTGTTCTTAGAGAGGTGAGTGATTGACAAGACGCCATCTGTGGTCACACTGACGAAGAGGGCGAGGCTGGAGTCTCTGTGGCCTGACGTCTTTGCTGCAAGCTGAGGTTTTAAATATATACAGAACACCTGAACTGAATGATATGTATAAAGAGTCTATCTACTTTCAACTAAATACTAAGACTGAACATATCTATCTATCTATCTATCTATCTATCTATCTATCTATCTATCTATCTATCTATCTATCTATCGCAATTAATGAACACTAATCCCAATCTAGACCTACACTCTTGTCATATGACTTTTCAATTTACAATTTTGATGCCATTTCCAAACACCTTTCATTGTGTTCGTGCTCACTGGTACAGAGTCTTTCCTCACCACAGTCCCATCTAGCATGCTGTACACTAATGCACTCCTTAGGTAATGGAAACGTACTGGGCCTTAATAGACTCGCAACATGGACTTTGCCCATGAGAACTGACTGAGCCTGTAGATAGTTGGTAAACAATGGATAATTAGGATAATATATGGGAATTAGGCGTGCTTTGCTGCAAAGGACATGATCAGGGGATTTACAGCGGCGATAATCATTCATATATAATTGTCACTCTGCATTGCACACATAGCCTGTTGGTATATTGACTCTGGTGCAGCAACGTTAGCAGTTTCTCACATTATTAAATTATAATCTGTTACATATAATTTCTTACTGTTGTATCGCGCACTCTCATCTTATCTCTGTGTATCTTACATCCAAGCATAAGCCTGTAGATACACAGTGTCAATGGCTGCTGGAATTGGCAACGGCGATACGATCCAGGTTGCACGTCTGTCATTACAAATAGAGCATAATGTTACATTACAGCCCCCACTGAATTGCAAATAGGGTGTAAAAGCCTGGGGAGCATGTACGGTTAACACTATATTATGTGGCAAAAACAAATACCAGCCCGGATTGACTTGAAAAGAAAAACAAATGATTAATTCTTCATTCCCTGGATCTGAACCGCAGCTCTGAACACATAGTTTACTGAGCTGACATTACAGCTTGCCCAAATAGTTTCAGAGAAGGGTTTAAAATCGATGCGCAATTAGGGGTGTCTTGTATCAGGCATGATGAATTATGCTCTCTGTTCTAAGGCTGGTCTATAGACACTTGATCAATTTAGCTTCTGGGGACCTGGTACGGCAGGCCAGGGAGAAATTGCTCTATTCCAAAGCCATTCGGTCGAATGTATTGATTAACCATTGCATTCTGAATTGAAAGTCGGTCCGGGATCTGTTCCATGTAGGGAAGGTGTTGTAGGAAAAGCTCCAGAGAATAAGCAGTACATTCAAACCCTCTCCACAGCTTACACTTGTTTTGCTATTCTACAGTCTCAGCTTTAAAGCACCATAATTATTTTACTATATCACTGCAACAGCTCAGGAGCGATGTACAGTATCTGTCCTTACACCCTAAGAGCTTAATTACGCGACCCCTCTCGGCAAAGGCACAGTGCTCTGAAACTGTTAAATGCATTTCAAAGTATTTTACAAACCCCTATTACTAAAATCAATTTCTAAATACTGCGCTATGTTAACAAAAAGCTATATACATTCACCTCCTCTTCCACCTATCACCTGTGCACATTTATTAAATCTTACCATAAACAAAAAAGTGCAACACTGTGTTATGTACTGTAAACTGGCACTGCGCGCTAGTTTTGAGAGCTCAAAACAACATCTTCATTGCACCTTATTAACAAAGATTCTGTAAACAGATCATAACCTTCAGCTGCAGGAGCCAATCAACCCTTTCTCATCAGGGTGCGCTGAATGCAATTAGGGGCAGAGCAAACGTCTTGTTTATATCACTGTAAACTCACTGAACCCCGGTTAGGGTGTTATTTATACACTTGAACTAGGCCAGACTGTGTTTGTGATCAAGGCTATGTTAATGCTATTCATATTACATAGTGCAAACCATAAATAGTGTGTGGTACACCTTCCCCTGGGAAAGACCACAGCGCTCAAGTTTGGAAATGCAATATGAGCGCCTGTCTGTCTTCCCCCTAACTGGAGGGTTCACAGTCTGGTTAGTGTCATCCCATCTCCCTCTGGCTCTCCCTTTTGGATTTGCATTGTCAGGGTATCCTCCCACAGGCCCGTCGGACCGGGCGCTCTCTCTCTCTCTCGAACAGTATCCTCTTCTACACTCAAATTGTGCACCCAGGGGATCTGCTGCCTCCTTGCCCACACCCTCTCCAGTCCTCCTCACTCGCACCAGAAGTGTGATTCATTTACATTATACATCATGACTCATGAAAACATGTTCTTTTACTGCTTGTTTGTACAAATACCCACATTCTGTTCATCACCACTCCACCATTTCAAGTCATATTGCCCAAATTCCCGTCCTTCTGGACCCATTAGCCATAAATCTGAACACAACATACAATGTTTCTTTTTTTTTTTTTTCAAAATCCACCCATACACGACATTGACGTGCTTTTTTCAAACCCACATTGAGAAACATGACAGCGTGTTATTTTTTGTCTGTGTTTTTTTTGTGATTTTTTTTTTTATGTTTTCTTCTATTTTTTGTTGTTTTTCTTCATCAAGGACAGATTATGTACATACAGATGTTATATGCCACTGACAGACCCAGTGGGACATTGACATGGAACAGTGTACAGTATTTGAGTGGGAAACAAAATAGGAAAAATAAAAACAGCATGAAAGACAGAGATACTGAGAGGATGGAAAAAGAGACTGAGACAGGAAAAAAAAGAAGCACTGACCAAACGACCTGCTCTTGTGCTTGAAATGGAATCCGTCATTATTTTTGGAGCAACAAGATGCATGCACAAACAGTGTGTTCTGTCACACAGACAACCCGACTACATCGCAGAGGGCAAGACTTTTTGAGTACAACATGTAGTGTTTTAGATTAAGGGCCATTTAAACAGAGCTTCACAATCATTTCAGAGTACTGTACACAGTAAAAGTACAACAACAGACTTATTTGATATACCTTGTTAATGTAGTTTTTTCAGATATTACACCACAGCTTTAACCATATCTGATACCTATTGCACAGTAGAGTTAGGGGTTATTGCTGGTTTGAAACAGAATCAAACAAAAACACATTCAGACAATTGATTCAGTACTGAGTAATTCCCCTTTAAGGTCGCAGTAGTCAGGGTTCAGCTGGGGTAAACTCATCTCTCCGTGCAGGCTCGTTATGGCAAATTTGCATATAGTCGCTGCATGTGAGTGGAACAGTGTTTTAACGGAGGAACGAGTGCCACCATATTGAAATATGGGCTTACCTCCCACTGTTTGTGCCGTGTGGGAGTAGTGGATGGATAATTGTGCCACAGGGGTTTTGTAGTGCCCATGCCTGCATGTCACAGGTACACTTCGGAGGGAGTACTGTTGCACCAAGGCGAGGTTGTCCTTGAAGAGGATTCCTGTCAGTGGCAGGATTGAGCTTGATTTATGGGGGCCATCACTGGCTGGCAGGAGGGACAGGTGGAGCCCAGGCTCCTTCACTTAGCCAGCCACAGGTAACGGCTAATTACATCTTTATCTCCCTGCGGTCTGGCCGAACAAGAACCGACTTACAGCTGCGATCAGAGACTGACATGGATCCAAATCATTTATCTAGCTGGTCGGAGAGAGACACACACTATGATAAGTGGACAAATATGCTGTAAATGTGTGTGTGTGTGTGTGTGTGATGCAGTTAACAGCATGACAAAAAAGAGTCCAGTACATAAACTGTTACAAATTATAAATTACATTATCATTCACTGCCTCTGGACTTGGATGAAATAATCCCTCAGACTGTTTCAAATGCGTTTTTAAAAAGCTTGTCATGGCAAAATAGAGCACATCACTTCGAAAACTTTACATGTCTTTTTTTTGTTGTTTGTTTGTTTTTTTCATTGTAGTTGTTCAATGTGTGTGACTTCTCAGAGTAAAGTACAAAAATCATTTTTCCCACGCACGGCTCATTACCATCAGGATTTGTTCATTTTTTTTTCTCACATGGAATTACTATTCATAGTTATTCAAATACTTATTAACATCATCATCATCTGTACTATTATTAACACCAAAAAAGTAAAAGCAGGTAACCTTGCAGAGTAAAACAGACACAGTGCAGGGAGGGTAGGGTAAGGGTGGGGGTGGGGGAGGGGAGGGAGGGAGTGAAGGGAGTATGGACTCACAACAGGAACATCTCTAACCGGTACATGCTATCAACAAGCGACAAAGAGGATGGAGCTGCAGCTTTGAAACAGAAGATATTGTTGTCACTGGACAGTCTCTTGCTGCTTCAGAAAACTGGAGCGAAGTTGAGGCTGATGGGAGATGTCGTTCTGCGCCAGGCAACCTGGAGTCGCTGGCGTGGCCTCTGTACTGCATATATTTACACTGGGGGAGGAAGACGGAGGGAAGAGGGGGGTGACACGGAGCAGAGAACACTATAGCGATGCGAAGGGCGACTAGACAGAGCACGTTGAACAGAGGGGCGGGGAAAGGGGGGGCGAAAAAGGTTTGGGTAGTGAGGGGGTCTACATGCGAAACCTTGGTATAAACCCCCCAAATTACATAAAGGGGTAGTTAAGACTGACGCCGTCACCACCCACCCTTTTTTTTTTTTTTAATACATTTTGACATCATTCATAGCAGCTTCACTGCTACACAGTTAAAATCAAAAAGCCATACATGTTTGTGTGTGTGTGTGTAGGTGTGTGTTTGTGTGATCAGAGGGTGACACATGGCCACCAGTTGGACAATTTTCAAAAGGTCACATGACCATCAGTACCACATTATAACTATAATTTCCATAAATATCCACCATAATATTGAGATTTTATGTATCATTCCCATAAGGCAAACATTGTAGGTCAGTCATTAGTCTATGTAGTATATTACATAAATGATCGTCCAGTTGTTAGATTATCTATTTTTCTCATTGATCACCGACACAATAATCGTTAATATACACTCTCTATCAACATCAGCTCGGTGGTAATAATGAGGGGACAACAAAGTGAGGGGGGAGGTACCAAGTCAGACAAATCTGCAAGGCATTCTGGGAGACATTAAGAGAGAGACAGACAGTGTGAGAGAGAGAGAGAGGGAGAAGAAAGAGATGTTGACAATGGTTTTGACCTCGAAATTGAATTAAGGGTGCAGGGAGTTTTGAGGGGGGTGAGGGGTTATTGGGGAGGGGGGTAATGCGGTCGTGTGTTTGATGCAATGATTCAATGGCTCCTGGAATAATGCATATTCTTTTTGTTCACAGTGATGGGTTCGTAATTAAAGAATTTCATTTCCTTCTTCCTTCCGTAGAGAGGGGGGTTGGGGGGCGCAGGGGTAAGGGGGGCTTTCAGGGACATTTAGGGACAATTCCAGGTGGCGCTCTCGATCTTTACACCTTCAGCAGAAGAACAGCAGTGAGGGAAACCCAAACACACACGCCGACGCTCATCCCTGCATGTAAACCAGTCCCTCGGCCCTGTATGGCCCCCGGTCCTGGAAGGGAAGAAGATGGAGAGGAGGGAGGGGAAGAGGAGAAATGTGTCAAGTTAAATACGAACAGCAATGAATTTTTATTATAACAATTAATCAACAAAATTAACTCTGATACCCTGGCATAATTACTCCAAACATTTAGAGGAGCTCTAGTCGACATTCAGCATTAATGTAGCAGCAAAAATCTATTTGCTGTGTAAAGATATAGAGTAATGGCATCTTGAATGGAGAATGAAGTCATGCTCCATCTGTAAGTGCTGTAATCCGAGCTTCTCTGTTCTTTGTTGTGGTAAGCTGGTCCAGCCTCGTGATCATTTAAGTGCATGTCTGTATCCCAGTGGGTAGCTAATTGCTTTTGCTCTGCATTGCCCTCATATGGCAGTTACCACTGATATCAGAATGGTGGTGTGGAAGTGTAGTACCCATCCTTCTGTTGCTTGCTAGTAAACACCAGCGCTTTGTCAGCAATGTTGCTGTTGTATTGTTAGCTGCTAGCTGCTGGCTCAGCCTCCTCCATGTTGAGAGCCATATGCAGACAACTTCTGAATCATTGATATGCTCTGAATATCGTAATGAGCTCCTTTAAGACTACACCTTTGCATTCCAACAGTGATTTTGTGTTTTACCAAGTTAGAACTACATTTCCCATATTCCAACAGCTTACACTCATACCGCCACCTGAAGCTGTGTCTTTACAGCATTGTCTTTTTGGGTGGAGGGTATCAGTATCCCCATTATTTTAAATATGAGAACATCTGGATCCCATTTAACATCAGTGCGTACTTAAAATAGGCAAAATGTGTGACATATGCTGAAGTCATGATAAAGTTAACATATTAAGCTTACAGGCTGACATTTTGACTTATCAAACACAGGTCAACAGGCCAAACATCCATTTGGATGTGCCAGAAAGAAACATAACTCAACCCTACACGCACAACATCCATTCAACTGGAGCCCCTAATTGGAATGCAGCCATCATGAATGTTATTAGTTACACCTATTTGACACATGAAAATGACCACCAGACAGGTCTATTGAATTTCCTAATTTACCATCATATTAATATGGTTAATCTTAAGTTACAAAGCTGTGAAATGCTGGAGTTTACATGTCACAGGCATTCAGGGCTGAAATTCTGACTTGTCAAACACAAGTGAGACCACTGACATTAATGACGACTGTAGGTATGCCTGAAATTCAAGCCACTGAGCCTGCATGCAGAGCACAAGCACACAGCCATTGTGAATGTTATTAGTTACACCTATTTGACACGTCTAAATGACAACCGTGAGAAAGGTCTATTGAATTTCTTAATCGAGTGACATGTATATGGTTTATGTCAATTACAAAGTCATGAAAAGCCTGAGTTGACCTGTGAGGGCTTACATTTTGACCTCTCTAAACGTTTCTCCGCACCAAGAAAGATAACTACAATAATGTAAGCATACACACTGATGAACAATAACGTTCTGTAAACAGTGGTGCCAAGCCTGCGCTGTGTGCTCCAGTTGTATCCGCAGCTTAGGAAAATAGATACTGATGGCTTGTTACTGCTGTATGTTGCGCAGAGATAGAAAAGGAAGACCAGAAGGGTATGTGTTCACAGGCCTATGGTGATTCAGTGTGTTGTTCAGAAGTATTTCAGGACTCTATTTGTTGTGATGTTCCAGTATTTACAGACCCAGACTGCTCCAGTATATCGAGCAACAGATGCAGACGCTGATGCGCAATGTGCAAAAGAACACAAACATCCAGAATTTATTGCACTGTGACAGGGACACATGGTATGAGCATGGATCCGAAGCCTAAACGGGTTGCTAACTTTGTCAGTTTCTCACACTGTAATGAGGACAAAGCAACACTGTATAATAAATACAGACAAGGCTATCTAAAGAAATAACCTCTGGGTCATTTTGCAATTTACAGTGCTTTAGTCAATAGTAAGAAAGGCACAAGCCACATTAGAATTAAATTAAGTCATCAGTTAGTTACCAAAATTAAGATATGTGCAGGTTTAAAGTTTTACTGGAAATGTCAGGCTAAATTGAGACTCAGTCAGGCCTGTGTGGGTAAGTGGATGGATTTTGGTTGGCTGTCAGTGCTTCTATCATCCATCAAATGAAAGTGATCCCAACGATATTATTTGGCACAGTAGTTCGTCTTTATTGTTGTGTTGTGGACATGCCATCCACTTGAGTAAGAATGATTTTATGAAACTATATATGCACAGGTATTGTCATAGTTTTTACTCTTGGTGTGTATGGCCCTTAACAAAGGTGAAACTAATAACATTTATAATGGCTCTGTTCCATTTAGGTGTGCCAGAAATCTGAGCCAGTGAGCCAGCATACACAGTACAAGCACCCTGGCACCAGAACACCTCAATGAAATGCATCCTTTATTAAGTCATTAGTTATTTCTGTGTTTTGCAAGTAACAATGCCCGCAGTGAGAAAGGTCTGTTGAATTATAAAATTCAATATGTTAACATGTTGAATGCCAGCCAGTGCTGTAGAGATAACCTTTCTGGTTCTCCAGAAAGCAAAACAAAAATCAATATTATTCAATATACCATTGAGGACATCGGATGTGGAATGCAGAATTACACCATGATTGAAAGGACAATTGTAAGAAAGCCTTAATTTACCTTCTCTCTTCCTGTTTTGTGCCATTAGGCAATCTAGTAGATTTCTAAACTGTAACCCGATGGCTTCTAATGTGACAGTGTAGAGTAAAAGCTAGCACATGCTGCCAATGGTGTCAGTAATGGACTCATTTGTTGAGGGTAATTACAATAATGTGCCAATTTTGATGTGATAGTGGGTTGTTGATATTAAAATGCTACATGTGGCACCTTTAAAATGGTGAACAAAGAGGTACAAAAGCATAGAGACAAAGTCGGAGGAGGCAGTGACAGTGAGGGACAGCGTATGAATAGAAATGCTGCAAAAGTATCAGATTATGGTCCGATTTCCGTGCTTGGTCCAGAACAGAAAGGGGTTTGTTGTGTTCTAATGATGGCAGGAGGAGATTAGGAAGGAAAGAGAAGGCAGAAGGACAGATGATGGAGAGATAGGCTGACAGAAGTGGCAGCAGTGGTGGAAAAAGAGAGCAGGAAGATGTATGGGTCTGACGGCGGAGTGAGTCATTGAAGGGAGACTGGCCGAGATAATGGGTAAAGGAATGAAAGAAGAAAGGGGATAGATGAAGGACTCACTTAAGATGGTAATGCTGAATGCAGTAAAGGGGGGGAGGGAGGGTAACGGGAAATGGAAGGGTAGGAAATCGCTCATTGGGGACGGTTAATGTGAATTGGGCTTGGAGAGAAATGACAACTTCTTGGGTAACGGGACAGAGCAGAGCGACAGTCTGTGTGTGTGCATGCAGGAGTGTGTATGGACGAGAGATGGAGGGTGAGAGCATGAACGAACGCGCGAGAGAGAGAAGGTAATATAGGCAAGCAAAGCTTTAATGGGGCGGAGAATAACGAAAATGGGGAGAAGGAGGGAGGAGAGGGCTGAGAAAATGCTGTGTTGTGTGCAGAGCAAAAATGAGACACTGCGAGGAGGGAAAAACAGTGTGTCGTTCTGTGGTCGTATCTCACGTCTGTTTGCTAGTCACACCTGATAAATGTGAGTGCACCTATGTTCTTGTGAAAGCTTGGGTTTGCATACATGTGTGCCCTGCACATGCAACTGCATGTACATCTATGTGATAACTTACGAAAGAGCAGCATGCTGGCGTTGGAAGCCCCCAGACGGTTTGAGGCAAAGCAGGTGTAGTTGCCAAAGTGTTTCTCTGTCACATTGGTGAACAGCAACAGCGAGCGCGTCTTCTCGTTTTTGATCCTCAGGGTGTTGTCACTCTCAACCGGCCTGGGTGGTAGTGGTGGGGGCGTGAAAGCGAGAGAAAGAAGCAGGAAGAAGAAGAGAAAAAAGAGTGTGTCAAAAAAAAAGAGAAATAACACAACATCACACCTAGTGACTCAGCCCGCATAAGCTGCTTGTTTTCTCGGTCTCTCCAGAGACGACCATGCAACACAGTCCCTCTCCACACACCGGCTCTGTCTCACCTTGTACTAATAGTGAAATCTAACAGTCCATAAATAACAGAGACCTCCTGTTGGGGCCTATTATACTCTATTAACAGCTCTCTCTGGCTGGCAAAGGCTTGTCTAAGTATGTCTGCATCTTACTTTGGCTGATGCCAAATCATCCTAACTCTTCTATGCTCTCTGGGACCTTTTACAAACTTGGAAGGACAGATTATGTGTGGGTAATGGAGAGCAAATAGGTTTCCAACAAGCTAATATTTCTCCAGAGATGGCAAAAACATACATGATTATCTCAGACCTATGCTAATGTCAGAGGTTCGGCAAATGGACAGCAGCCAAGACTACGTCCACAGAAAGTCAGACTGTGTTTTTTAAAGATCTCATGTCCCCACAGAGAGATGCAGCCCAATTATTTGGCTGAGTCTCAGCTGGTAAATCTCTGTCGTATTCCCTCCTTTTCTCTGTTATCACCTACTGTAAACTGTTTGTTTTAAATACTGCTGAACTCACAGTGTAAATGTTTTCATTAACACATTATGTTTTTGTTGTCAGACAATTGATTGGTTTAGTTTAGTTCAGTCATTTTCTAACTTATACAACTCAATGCACATAAGAAAGAATATTAAATAAATAATAATAAGTCATCACTTTTGAAGCAGAGACAAACCAAAGCAAGTTTTGCTGACGTCTTAGCTTATTGCACTTATCCTTTTTACATTTATTGTTTTGTTCTCTTTTGATTCATACATCAAAATGAAAGAAATAAGCAAACTAAATATATGTAAATTATATATATCCAAAAGTCCCAAACAAAAATTATCCACACTAGTGTTCATAACTTGGATTTCTATTTCTAAATCAACTTGTTTGAGTATTTTTGAAAAAATCTGTGCTACATATTTTATTTCCTTTTCAAAACTATTTCATAAATTAACTTCTTTGATTGGTACAAATTTTTGTTTTGCATTTGTTCTAATCTTTGTTTTTGTTAACTTCTAACTTCCTCTGAGTTCATACAGACTCACTCTAATTGTCACTGGATACAGTCTGGAACAAGTCCCAAGAAAGTGAGCTCGGCTTTGAGGGAAATTTTCTTAGAGGCCAAACAGTAGAATTACAACTTCTGGGTATGTCATATGACTCTGCCAGCTAGTTCAGGCAGTCAACTTGAGCTGCACTGATTCATACAAGCATGTCACACTTCACTCTCCATCTCTATCAGAACTACTGCTCGCTCTTTCAGCCCCAGCCCCACCCCATGTGTAGGCTCTGCCTGAGGGGTAATATTTAATCATCACTCCCCAATATCTCATGTAAACATATCTGTGAGGAGCAATGGGGCCAGAGTCTAGACAAACACTACCTATGTTCTGCTGTGAGTTGTCTGACTGAAGACTTTTTCCCATAGACTTAAATTGGGTCTGTCTCTAAATCAGTGGATAAGTTATCTTGAACGTCACAACTCCCCTTGTAACTGATTAATTTGACTATCAGGGTTTGAACCATTTGGTCCAATAACATTTTGAAAGTTTATCTGCGTTCAAGTTAGCAGAAAGCTAAACCAGAAGTAGCTCACCTAAGCCAATGAAAGTCCCTGGTGCGTTTACTCTAAGGGCCCAGTGATACCTAAGATCCAGACTTTTTTGGCTTGAGTGCCTTTCATAGGAATGAACATTACATTCACATTATTTGTATGTGGTTTCCACCACAGTTTGTGGTCCAATACAACCCCCAAAATGTATTTTCATAAACTCCTATTATAGTAGTTTGAGTATAAACAGTGATTCACTTGAGACTCACAAGAGCTGCAAGTTAACCAGCTGCTGCACTGAGATGTTACCAATCAATGTCACAAATGAAAAACACAGGTTAATAATGATGCCTGTGTGATCAGCTGTACTGACAAACCAGTGCTCACAGAGTGGGTTAGAGTGAAAGTTGTCGTCCACAGCTCCCAAACTGTGTGTGAGCAAACCTACTGTATGCCATTGTTTCAGACGCTCAGTTTTACACATCAATACTAAAATGCTAGGCTGGTGTTTATGGATTTTTTTTTTCTTTCTGGAGAGCATTTTTCAAAAAGCTTCATTTTGTGTTTAAAAAAGCCTCTGCTCAGAAATGACCAAAACATACATTTTAGATGTAGCTGGCTCAGTGTGGATAGCAATGATCTCTGGTGGTCTCACCTGTGGTCATCTCTGTACCACTCGAAGGAGGCTGGTGGCACTGCCATGGCTTCGCAGCGCAAGATGGCCGTCTTACCCAAATGGGCTGGCATGTTCTTCACATCTGTGATCATGGGTGGGTCTGGCAGAGGAAATGGGGGAGGAAAGAATGGACAAACAGAAGGAGGGAATTCAGCAATTAGTATACATCTGCCTTCACCGAGAAGTTGAGTCAGGTCAGCACAGGGTTGCAGAAACCCCCCCCCCCCCAGAGAGAGCACAATTAAGATGTATGAATTCATACATAATAATGCATCCTACAAATTAACATATATCATTAATACATCATTGCTCTATAACACGGGAGGTCTAGAAGGAGTTAAATTATCACCTCTGGGCTGTTGTTGTGGTGCAGAGAGGAATACTTACAGTTAACCGTGACCTTGACTTTGCGCTGATCAGGTGGAGCCACTCCATTGTTGGTGATGCATTCATAGTCCTCGGCCTGCTGCCTCTTGATCTCTGTGATGTCTAGGAACTCCCCGTCACTAACCAGCCCATCTATTGACATAAGGCAGGTGTTAAGGGTTACTATACATCAAGTGCAAGGTGACTCAGGCTAATAATTTATGCTTTACTACTTGAGGTACCGTGGCAGATGGACTGAGACCCAATTTATAACCAACGTAGCTATTAGAGTACTGGGGAGGCACCAATACCTATATCAGATTTTAATCCAGATCAAAACCCATACTGGATTACGCGATCTAATCCAATTTCAGAATCCTTTTTTTTCTTTTGAACAATTCATTTTCCAGATTTGATCCAATCCATTAGCCAAACTCCAATCAGACTGCTTCTGAACAACTGGGCTGTGAACATTTTCTCCAAAACTGACATAGTGAAGTCGATATCACAAACATAGATAACATATAAATATGCAAATCAATGTTGCCTGCCAACTCGTCAAATATTGACTCTTGGTCAGTGGCCCTACACGTCAAAATATGATGCGTGGGCGGCATGGTGGTGCTGTGATTAGCATTGTCACCTCACAGCAAGGGGATTCTCGGTTTGAATCCAGAGTGGGGGGTTTGAACCCTAAGGTGGGGGAGCTATTTGTGCAGAGTTTGCAAGTTCTCCCCGTGTCAGCGTGGGATTTCTCTGGGTACTCCAGCTTCCTCCCACTGTCCGAAGACATGCAGGTTAAGTGGTGACTCTAAATTGCCTGTAGGTGTGAATGTGAGTGTGAATTATTGTCTGACTCTGTGTCAGCCCTGCAATTGTCTGATGACCTATCCCTGGTGTACCTGCATCTTGCACAATGTCATCTGGGATAGGCTCCAGCTCCCCAGCTACCCCTAACAGTCTAAGCAGTTAAGAAAATGAATGAATAGGTACCCCTCCTTGAGCAGTTTTGGATACTCAGGACAGCGTTTCAATTTCTGCTTGTTAAATGCATTGTGTCTTTTCAAAATTAATTTCTGTTTTCACAGGAAATGCGCTGTTTGTGCTTGATAAATGCGTACAGTCTCTTTTCAAAATAAAATGAAAACGTGGCCGAAAAACTTAATTTTAGGTTTGCTATCTCAGGTTTAGGTAAAAAGAGAACATTGTTAGGTTTAGGAAAAAACATCATGGTTTGGCTTTAAAAAAAAAAAAAAAGGTTTGTGCCGTCCAAAGTTTGTTATTACTGTAATGTAGCTTTACATATAACATATGTAATGTGACATACGACAACTGTGTAGCATGCTACACATACTAGCAAACTATGTTGTTACTAAAATGACTGACTTTGGGTTTCACTTGGGACATGAACAGCAGGCTGTCGGGTGAAAGTCTGGAGTTTCTATACAGACTTTCTCACTCTTTATATTGTGGTAGTTGCCTGGAGCATCAAAAAGCCACCTGGTGCCTCTCTTGCCCTTGCTAAAGGGTGCCTTAGTGCATCAGTATTTGACAAGTTGGAAGTGAGATGTGTTTGCAATAAACTGTGTTATATTGGTCACAACTTTTTCTCACTTTGTTAATTTCTATTTAGAATTTGCTGCTTTTAGTTATTAATGTGGATAACAGAAAACAACATGAAAATCAATAGGAAGCAATTCCACGAAAAAACAATTATGACACTGAAATATCAACAAGCCCTAATAAAATATCTGTAATCAAGAAATATTGATTTTATTTCAGTCATATTTGGCTCATGACCCAAACTAAGAGCCTCAGGCTGGTTTGTTGAGTAAACTGAAGGGTCAGTCGCTGAGTTCTAGTATAGATGCAAAGTAGGCAAACATGATTTGGCAGCAGTGACACCATTACTTTTACAGTGTCAGGGGAAATTGCAAGCTTTTCTTCCAGACAGTGAATTCACCAGGGGTTGACGGTCTGTTCACTACATTACGTATTAAGAAGAATATTTGGCTGTTATTTGATGTTGACAAACTCCCAGGTGCCCCCGAAACCGAATTAGTCAGTCTCGCACTTTCACTCCTTTTCCTCAAGGCGACAAACAGCCACAGAATCTCTTCAGAGGGGTGAGTAGAAGGGACGGGCTACAAGTTATTGCTCCTTCATGTGAGGGAATGGATGTTGGGGGTGTTATTGGATCGACAGCGGCGGAGAGAAGAAGAAGAATGAGAGTGAGAGTGTACCCCACCCCCCACCCCCTCCTCCCTGCAAGTCTTAGCAGCCAGCTGTCTCAGAGCCTCCAAAACCATTAGGCCTTTTTTTCTCCCCTTTACCCCATTAAAGAAGTCAGACTGTGGAACACGACATAATATATAATCTCACCACTAACAAGGAAATCCAGCTCTTAAATTGCTGCTCACTTTTCCCTTTCAAAGCCTCCCCTAAACATACACACAACCACTGTCAATCAGTGGACCTTTACTTCCCCTCACAAACACACAAATGGCGCCTGAGCACGTTTGTGAGCAACACCAACGCAAACACACACACAAAAAAGGCGCTAAACGCCATGATTATTCCTGTCAGAGATTAGCGCGGCGGTTCTAATTGAAGATTATACTGGAGGATTATTAGTGTGGCTACTGAGCTGGAGACGATTATTTGCAGCTGCTGTGGAAGAGGCTGAGCAGCGAGCGACAACCGCGGTGATGGCTGCTTGTGCCACCCGAGCAAGTGCAGGCAGGCGCTGGGTGCTGGGGTGGGGTGGGTGCAATGTTATTCACTCATTCCATTAGTTTAATAAATATAGCTCTCTTGTGACATCTCTGTCAAGCAAGCAGAGCACCAAACTTTGCCAGAGGGGGTAGCTGAGGCGGTATGTGTGTGTTTGGGGGGGGGGGAGAAAAAGATAGAATCAGACAACTAGCACTGGAGAAATTACACACAAGGCTGTTACAGATGACTTCCAAGAAATAAAAAGGACAAAGAAAATAAAAAATGAGAGCAATCGAGCGCTAGAGAGCGCATTACAGACACACAGAGAGAGTGGTAATTTGCAAGAGATTCCGAGCAAGACGCTGAATGAGATATACACAGATATAAAGATAGAAGAAAAATAGAGAAACAGCAACATAAAGCGGGGAGTGAAGAGATGTCAAGTTGGGTATTTGATGTGGTTGGTTTTTTCATGGACTTTTCATCCTTAGCACCTATGTGTGATGTAATATGACAGTGCGAAGCAGCCCTCTCACCCTCCCTTTCTCTCCCTCCTGCTCCATCCCCTGAGATCTCTGGACCAGCATCGCACACCTCTCTCCACTTTGGTGGGAGATCATATCTGACTGCAGCCGGCCCCTGGCACTCCTACAATGGCCTGTAAAATACATCTCCATCAACCACTTATGGCTTTTGAAGGAGCCTGACTCCTGACCACCAGAGATAGTTGGATTGCACCTGAGAAGAGAGAGAGAGGGGAGGGGGGGCTGTATGAATGAGTAGAGGGAAAAAAGGATCAGGGGTTCTGGCCTGCCCTACAGTGAAACTGTGCTCTATTTCCCCGGCAGCACTTTGAGCTTGACTAGATCATCAGGGCACTTGATTTCTCTGCTCCTCTTATCCATTTCCATTACAAAAACCAATGTCCAGGCAGAGAGGTCTGATGTTGGGTTAAAACAGAGAAGCACGGACGGCCTGACAGACTGTAAAACCTGTCCTTTGGAAGAGTAAAGGGCTGGAAGGTGTTTTAGTTGAGCTGAATGAAGCTACAACAGAATTTAAATCTCTTCACACATGCCTAAAGAAAAGACCAAAACCAACAATCAACCTTATCATCTGAGGCCTGATATATCTTATTCCTCTGTGCCATGGACCTCCTTTGTTGTACAGAAACAAAAACACACCAATAAGCAGGCTGTTCTCAGGCACTGTTTGTTTATTTTCCTATGAAAAGTAATGCATCAACATTTACACATGTCCCATGTAATCATGAGCCAATAGTTTTGTGCATAACCCATGTATTTTGGAGGGCTGGGATCATGTCACCAATGCTCTGATGGGAGAAAAGAAGGGGACCCAAAGGACTGGTGTTCATAACTGTGTAAACTTTAAGAGAAGTTTGAGTAGGTGCGCTGTCACCGTGTTTCTTTTCCTACCTCCATAACTTAACATTGATTATGCAACTTGACGTTAAGTACATAAAGTCTTTTGCAGGGTGCTTATTCATAGGATATCATATAAACTGTTGTATAAAGAAACGTTGCAGTACACCACAGTCACACCGCTGACATGTTGATTCATTACCATAAACATAGGCACTGCAGTTTATTTTGTTTCGACAAACTCTACAGTGCCTGACTGTAATGGGAAATTATTTGTCATTTTTTAATACTAAACCTGTAACTTTTATAAGGACTCCACCGCATGTGAATGAAAACAACCAATCAGAGCCAAGGAGTCTTTAAGACCTGTCAATCATGTCAATCACTACTCGTGAACTGCGGTCCAAGTGTCAAACTAAGCAGCGCTGATAAATGAATCAAGGTTCTGATACTGCATTGCCTGTTTCTCTTGAAAAATAGCAGCGTGCACAACTTTAAACTCTTGAACAATGTATCAGGTGCACGGTTGTGGAAAGGATCAAAACAAACTGAACACCGGCGCTCACGGATAAATTTGCTCATTTAATGTGGGCAAAACAAACAGAAACAAACATGTTTCAGCTACAAAGGCAACATCAGCGTGATACAAAACAAGCAGCAATGGCAATTTATGCGATCAGGTGAGGTTCAAGCAACAATCAGGACAGACAATGCATAATTGCATGATAGGATCCGTTCGGGAATGAATGAACCGCCTAGCAATGACCTCTCCCAATCAGAAACAACAACAACTTGTGTCACAAGCTGATAGGTAAAAAAACAGATGCCCAGGACTGGAACCAGACAGCAAGAGACTATAAATAAGTAATTATAGTGTCCAGATTAATGAATAAATTAGTATGCATAAAACGATTACCTCAAAACCCAATGCAAAGAACTTTCATAGTATCCAACCCCTGTTGGGGAAAAGTAGTGATAAAAAGAGTCTTTGCTTAAAAGTATCAAATTACAAGGAAAAATCCCTGAGACAGGATACGTCTATAATGGGGAGACATAGCATATATAAGATAAAACAAGAGCTATATGACTCTATTATCCCTAATAGTTTGAGAGCAAAGAAAAATGTCAGAGAAAATGTCCAGAATAAACACATCCACAAAATACGTATAAGGAACCGAAATGTAAAAAGAATAAATATCATGTAGAATTTAATTCAGCAATATACGACACCATTGAATAGTTTCAAAGATATATAGAAAAAAATAATAGAAAAAAAGATAGAAAAAAGGGCAAAATACATCCGCAAAAATATTGTAAGGATAGGTAGCATATGAGAGGAAAATAATTAAAAACTGTATGAACGACGATTCAAGTCGTTTGAATCATTTCAAGGGAGCTCAGGAAAATATATCCTGTACTGTCATGAGTAAATGACGAAAATAAATACATCTACATAATCTAAATACAGGATGGTGGATAATGGTTGAGACGTTGATAGAAGAGATTATAAGGAGCAACCCAACAGCATTTTCTTCGTTCAACCCTTAGGGCTCTCATTTTGTAATGTATAAATCCCTTTGTGATATAAATCTGTCCCTATCTCCACCTCTTTTAAAGGGATGTAAAATTTCTACACCTTGAAATTTCAAGGAACATACATCATGGGCAGATGAATGAAAGTGTCTGGCCACCGGGGGATTTTTCATCTTTATTCCTTATGATATTTTTATCTCAGAATTCTATTTTTCAGCTCCTGTTAGGTTTTACCAATGTGCTGACCCACAAGGGCATTTCAAGAGGTACAGTAAACCACATGTTTGGTTCTGCAAGAGATCCTGTTCTTGATGCTGAACCTTTTACCAATATGAAGATGTAAAAAACCTTTCCTCTGATTATCGTATAACACTGGGAACAGCTCAAACATGGGAAATTAGCACCTGATAGGTTAGACAAAAAACACTGAGCAGGTTAAATTGCCTATTGCCCGCCTCAAATGTATTCAGAAACATATTTTAGTGTACTGTTTAGCTGTAAAATGTGAAAGTTTGTGACCCAGCTGCCATGTTGAAAATGAGCCAAAACTAGGTGCAGCCCACTAGCCAGAGCAAACATTCTCATTTTACAGCTAAACAGTACACTAAAATATGTTTCTGAAAACATTTAAGAAGAGAAATAGGCAATGCAGTGACAGAATCTTGATTCATACTTGAAGCTGCCTAGTTTGACAATTTGACCAGTTTATGAGCCATGATTGACAAGACTGACAACTGCCTTAAAGACGCCTTGGCTCTGATTGGATGTTTTCTTTCAGCTGAGGGAAATTCTGGCAAATGCTATTAGAAGTAGCACAAGCAGGAGGAGGAACACTGTTTCAATTTATGTACTAGTGTGTGGGCACATTGACAGTTTCAGCAAATAGGACACAAAGTTATTTTTATGAAATTACCTACTACAGCTTTAAACTTTATATCTGGGACCAGGGCCAGTTGCACAAAACACCTTAAGTTTTCCTGAAGGTCTTAGTTAAGGTTTCCTCAACATAAAATTGGTTTCACAAAACACCCTTAGTCTTCTCCTGAGGGTTTCCTTAAAATATTCACTTAAGTATTAATGGTTTTATTCTTGTCTTCGTCTTGTACTTAAGGAATCCCTAGAGCATTGCACAAAATTCTTTAGCAACCAAAGCAAGGTTAAAAAAAAAACTTAAGGTACCTCTGACTTTATCTTAACTGCAGCATGACCACGTTTATGATGATAAATGAAAAAAACTAACACACCCCAAGAAGACTACTCTGGTCTTAGGAGAACCCGACAGATACGCTTTTGATTTTACACTATAGATATGACTGAATTATTTTTTGTTGTGATTTCTTCCTATAATAGTTTTCTGGTGTTTGGGGATCAAATTTACTTTGTAGTGTGTGCCGTCTATGGTTGTATTCCTCCAGAAGTATATCTTTTCCTCCTCTGACCAATTCGGTTTTATTGTCCTCTTTTCTTTTGCCATTTTTTCCACTGTCTAACTATCAGCCAACTTTATGAGAAGATAATAGGCATCACAAGCGTGAGTCCAAGTTAACAAACAATCTCCGTGGAAACTTGTACTCCTGTAAAATTTATTTCAATGTAGTTAAATGAGTTAATGGTTTTCCTTAACTAAGCAAACCTTGGAAGGGATTCAATGCAACTCAGCTAAGGAGAAATTAAGCCCTTAATGTCAACTTCAGTTTTGTGCAAGCGGCTCCAGATTTTCAAGATTTATATCTTCAGTATGAACAAATGGGCTGGGGGCTGAAAGCCAAAGGGTTTGTTTTTTTAATGTAATTCATTAACGATAACAAATGTAGAATATTATCAGCCCAAACCTTTAATATACACATTAACATTTTTGATACATTTGTTTATCACAGAATTGTGACAAAGATATGCACCAAATGGGACATTTTACAGTTGGAAATAAACTTTTGAGGGCTCTCTGGCAACACTTTCCTGCCTTTTCCAATCACCTGATTTAGACACTCAACCTGTACACCTGCTATTCATTCTCTCATCAAGCCACACCTGTCCCTCATCAACTCCACTCAGTATACCCACACACAAACACTTGTCCTCTGTCACATCACCTTTGCTGTTGTAGGTATAGCATTCAAGCTTTGTTCCTGCCTCCTTATGATTTCTGCCTGTCTACTTTTTGGGTTATTTTGGCTCTGCTGACTACTGACTTGTTGTCAACCTCTGCTTTTCCTTTTCAGTACCTGCTGTGTTTTTAGTCGAGCTTTTAGATACCTAATTATTCAGCCTCTGTCAAATCTAAAGACTCTTCATGCTTATCATCATATTGCTATGATGCTTATTTGTGAAAAGCTCCTCACCACCACAAGTATCTATTCATTCACGCTAAGCCCGTGTTTGTTTTAACGGATGGGATGTCAAATGATAAGGCCCCGATGCGCTGGAGTATTTAACTGAATGAGACAGACTGCCTGTATGTCTCTGAGTGGGTCAACTGATGGATGCCAGTCAGAGTGAATGGGTGAGACAGATTGTATCTGTGCTTTGGTGAAGATGAAGGGGACGGCCTGCAAACAACAGTGCAGAGCACAGTCCCTATCTGTATGTGAATAAGGACTCCGTGGACAAGCTGCAAAGGGGTTGAAGACCTTTAGCAGGGCTCTGTCTCACCACTAAGGTGGCACGCCTCCTCCTATCCCACCACCACCAGACACGCACACGCATTTTCCACCAAATCTCCAAGTACACTGTTCTCCTCCCTCCTCCCCGCAGTTTCTCTATGCAGTCTCTGAGTAATGGGGACAGATGGCTGGCAGCTTCTTGCTGTTTCTTTGGGCTAGTCCACCCCCCCTTTCTCCACCGCCCCTGGTCTCCTGCAACTGATGGCTTGGTTGCACAGACTCCCACGGAATAGCAATGCGGCCCCTATCTCTTTCTCTGCAAGCTGAGGGGTTATTGGGGGAGAGAGGGAGGAGAGGCGGTGTAGATGGTGGGGGCGACTGGAGAGGGAGGATTACTGCTGACAGAGGAGAAATGCTGTAGGCTTGCAAGTGAGGACAACCGCACAGAGTTTGTGATGTAAAGCCGTGTGTGTGTGTGTGTGTGTTTGCTGCAGGTGTGCGCTCATGCATGCTCTACCATTGTCCTCTGTATTTTTGGGTGCCTGTGATCACTATGGGCTTGAGGTACCATGTAGGTACACAAGCACTAACTGTGCAGGGAAGGACATTGCATGCACAAGGGAGAGAGGAGGAGGACCAGACCTCTGAGCCAGCCCAAAGCTGTCTGTAAGTACAGCAGTACAGTATAGGTTGTGCATTTGCCTAACAATATAATTACAGCGTGTTGAGCAGTTGTTCATGCTGACCCATTTATTAATGCTGTCTTGCTGCTACATTTGATCTGTGCTGCTGCTGCTGCTGTAGTCGAGCTACATCTCAGCCAATACTGCTGTGTGATGAAAATGCTTTAAACATGACTTCTGTGACACTGATGCAACGCCAGCCTCACAAAGAGTTCATTATTTGACTTTCAAATCACTGAAAAGTCGAAAACAATAATTCTTGTTCTTATATATCTCCCTTGTCTGTATTATTCAGAGGTTCAGTCTGAGATATTTTGGCACACACATGTGCCCATATCACACACAATGAACCAAAAAGGTTGTGGAGCTCATGCAAAATGCAATTTATAGCAATGTATTTCACCCCAACTGATAGCAGTAGCAGTAGCTGTAACTCAAAGTCAAAAGAGACAAAAATTCTTTGCTTAAATGCCGACAGTTACTGGAGTAAAATACATTTAGGAATATTGAGTCATAGTGCAGTGGTATATTCAGTACATAGCAATTTTCTTTATGAGCCAAACAGATGACACAGCACTGCCATTACAGTTCTAATAAAACCATACAATCTCTAGAGACCATGTAATGATTATTTGCCTGACTTTGGTCATTACTGGTGACAAAGATGGGAACAGAGAGGGAATAAATGCTGCGCAGATCAAATCAAAATGGATTTGACTCCATCTATCAAGTTGTGTAGTCTGACCGCTTTGAAGTAGTTCTGATTCCGCACAATAATGGGAGCTAAAAATAGCTGATTTAATGCCAGAAGTGGCTGTTAGCGTAGGTTGGCATCGTGATGCTGGTTGACAGGGTGGATGAAGACAGATGCTGATGATTACAGGTGGCGCGGTGGGGATAATTACGTATAATGTGTGGTTGTTTGGGACAAAACATTGGGACACAGGGAAAATACGGAGAGTATGAATTTAAGTCGGGGACAGACTAAACAGCTGGGTTTAAGAGTGATGACACAGGTATGTGGGATAAAGACGTGGACATGAGCTGAATGCTGATAAGCCTTTAGGAGGGAAAAAAATAAAAAGACGATACCAAAGGCAGAACAGGGTTAGGGATGAACGTGACGGCGGGGAGATAAAGGTGAAGCTGTGAACAAGAGATCTGCGGATCTGAAGACAGGCAAACAAGAAGGGGTGGCTTACATTTCTGGTCTTTCCAGGTGACGGTGGGCTCGGGCCGACCCACTGCCAGACAGTAGAGGTTTACATTCTCTCCTTCATTCACCGACACGTTTTTTGAGATGTTGACGATTCTGGCCGGCACTGAAAAACAAGATCACGTTATTAAAATATGACCTTAAAATCCCTTTTTTTGTTTCATGAATTATTGATTACAGCCTATTAAGGTGTTTAAAGTATGATGCAAATCCTTGCACCTAAGACAGAGAGGCAATCAGCTGATTAATGATCTGTGCCTGAGTGCTTACTGAAATGTGCAACCATACGCTTGACCATCTACTTAAAATGCACTGAATTCTAAATTGCTGCAAATGGGCATTACAATTTCCTTCTCCTGACATTTAATCCAATTTGATCTTTAAAGAAAAGAAGAATACTTGTAAAAGTGGTAGTCAGAATTTTTACTTTTTAGGTGAATGACCACTCCTGAATACCGCTGTGCCCCAACCTCACAAAGTGTTGGAGTGCTGTGCATGTAGTTAGTTTGATAACAAGATGGCCCTTGAATTTAAATGGCCCATTATCATTGCTTTTAATGAGCTTGGCCCTGAGATTGCTTTTTTTTGTAAGACATATACCGAGGATCCTATTTTTCTCTATCTTGGTGGAGTTGAACACTTGCAGTGATAAAGCACAGATTGGAGTGGAGTGAAGCTGCTCCTGCTTGATGCACTGACTTGAGGGTGTAATTATTTTGTGTGATATCAAGCTAGGGCTGAAATTGCAGGCGACTTGGAATTAGGTATATATGGTCATCTGTGCCAAGCTTTGCACCCTGCAGACAAGAGTGTTTGTTTGGCTGCAGCACGATGTGAAAACTCTGTTAGTAAGCAGCTGACATTGTCTCCGCCACCTGTGAGCTGTGAGCCAGGCCTCGCGCTTTCGGTCCCAGCTGAATGTACCTAATATATCCTGTTAAAAGTTTTCGGTTTCATTCTGCCGGTGATGTATAACTGCAATCTGCACAACACACTGTCCAAAATATGCATAAAAATTGACACATGTAAGAGGGGAGAGAGGTCTGAGATCCATCCTCTGGGCAGTTCTGTGCCAATACATCATGTCACTCAGGATCAGCCAGACTCTCACTCACTTAGCTGCTGACTTGATGACTGAGCTCCAGTCGTGGTCCTACGCTGTCAGTTATTTAGTCAGGCAGTTGGACAGCCGCCCCTGTGTACCTCATCTCCTCCGAACACACACCCTCATCCATCTGATCTGCCTAACTTTCTGTTTATAAAGACAAGTAACCCGAATTGGCCACATGGAAATAACAAATGGGCCGAGACTTGGCCTTCTTATTGAAACTGACTTTCCGTTATCTGTCACTGCGCTGCTCTACTGTGGCCACACACACACACATATAAGCTCATAAGCAGTGGTGTAACATAACGATATAATAATACTTTCCCTGCCGAAGTATAATCTTTAAGTTGCCAGCCACCGCCAGAATTTCTGATCATATTCACTAATCTTTCAAGACCCTCAAGAACAGTATATACATGAAACTAAAGAAGAGAGACTTATTCCAGTCCATTTTTCTCAACACTTGAATTTGCACATTTTCATTTAAAAAACATTTCGGACAAAAAGCTGAGAAAAATGTCACCTTCATTTTCAAGTACAAATTCAATTCCACATTTACTTTTTTCCCCTCATTTCTTTATGTCAATTTGAATTGTTAAATAAAAAATTAAATAAATAATGAAAATAATATTCTGTTTGACGTATAGCGGAAAATGTCGTCACGTTCAGTGTTCTGTCGCCTCCCTCTCCTCTGTGGTCTTGTCCATGTGTTGTCGCTGTCACCGTCACAGATATCTCGTTTCGTCCCACTAGACTCGTTTGCTTCTTCGTCCAAATTAGAATCAGAATGTTGAACAAAACAGGAATTGTCGGAGTCTGAGTCCATCAGTATTTTAACTTTAACTTTCCCTTTTTACTCCACTATATTTCCTGAATAACATGTATGCTTGTACTCTAATACATTTCTATGTGTTGGAGTAACAGTATTTTACTCCACTTTTACACCAGTAACTATGTGTTGCTATGTCCTCAGCATTTTGCTTACTTCATCACTACAAAATAAAATTGTAAGGTTTGGCAAATCAGTGGTCCTAGCTTGCAACTTAGATCATAGCTCAATCACATGAGAGCAAGTGCAAACAAGTGCTCTCAAAGTCTCAAGTAAGTTTGGATTCCCAGTCAAGCCCAGGCTGCATGTCAGAATAGATTCTACATGCTAGTGACTGCATTCCACCCGACGATGAGACTGACTTCATGATGGAAGCAGGAAAAGGTGTCCCACAGAAGAGAGGGCGAGTAATGATTCAAGAAGATAAAGATTTGTGACAAGTAACTGTGCGGTGACAGCTCTACTGCAGTGTGTCAGCCCTGGATAGTCAAAGGTTTTCCTTAAATCCTTCAAGCTGTGACGAGGACCTCGTTTTTCTTCAAGTGTTCTCCATTTTTAAGGTGATGTACGTGTTAGGAAGACCTAAACATCAGATAATTTAAGACTTTTACTCAAGTAATATTCTAAAAGGTGACTTTAACATCTGCCAAAGTCATTTTTCTGTGAAGATACCTCTACTTTTACTCAAGTTTGACATTCAGGTACTTCATCCACCACTGCCAATAAACTTGCAAGTCATAATCAAGTAATTGCACTTTGATATAACCATAAATACCAACCTTAAATAGTTAAACATCATAAAAACATTAAATACAACATTTTCTATCATGACTTTAAGCATAAATTTAGACCTGAATGAACAGAGAAGGAACACTGAAACGTAACCATAGAGAATCTTAATTGCTTCCCCTGATGTCAAACCTCAATCACACCCAATAGACAGCACTACGCTTGGATGAATGACGAAATGCATAATTAAGCCGTTTAGTTTTTATCCAAGGCTGCTTACAGTAACATCGGTGCACACATATCTCTTTTTGTGCAGCCGCACCTGCAATCAAATCTCTGGATATATCAGGGAAATGAGCCAGCACTTTTAATGGAAACAGTAAACACTCATTACAGATTCTGCTCTGTCAACTCGGCTGCTCACCTTGAACAATGAGGTAGACGTGAGCGATGCGGGGCTTGTTATTGGCCTGGAAGGTGCAAGTGTAGGGCCCCTCATCGGTTACTTGCACCTTGTCGATGTGGATGGAGAAGTCACTGTTGTTGCTGTTGGCCAGCGTCACACGCTTGTCCAGTGACCACTTATCTGTCCCCGTGAACAGGATGTTAGAGCGGTTCAACCAGGCCTTGTGGGTCACCTCCTCGTCGATCCGACATCTGTGAGAGGACAGGAAGTGATTAACAGGTGGGAGGCCTGTTTGACGTTATGCTTAGGGTTGATATTAAATACTGCTGAGAGTGTTTTTATTAATACATTTATCTTTAGCGCAGATATACGCAGGGGTGACATATCAAAGACAAAAAACAACATTTAGTGTTTTAGCACAGTGTTGAGCACCAGAAGAGCTTCAATGTACCTTAAAAATAGATTACACAAGTCTTTTGAAGTTCACTGGGACACCATTCTCCCAAAATATCCTCTCTTTTGGTGCTTTTATGAGAGACGTTTCACTACCATTTTTTCCTTCCCAGTACCAACTCTGATACTTGAGCTCGCGTATCAGTCAATACTGGGTACCGATCCGATACCACTGTGTTAAAAATAAAAGAATAAATAAATAACAGCTGTATACTGCCAACCCTGTATCAGTGTGAAATGATCATTGTTGTATGGCATGGCTCAGGTTGAAACCCTAAACTGGTGGGACTTTCCAGTATAAAATATTGCTGACATTCTGCTCATGGCTATTGTTACACTATTTACCAGAAATCAGTTCTTCTCTGCTGCTTTGAAAAAAGCAGTTGCCAGTGGCTGCAACATGTAACAGTTTTAGAGCCATGAAGAAGAATTGATTTCTGGAAAACTGGTTCATTCAGGTGTGAAACTAATTTAAAGTTTTTAAATTACATGGTAATGGATCGGTGCATAAACTTGCATACTTGCCGACACCCGATCCAGCATTTTAGGCAGCATCGGAGGCATTTCCAATACTAATACCAATATCAGAACAACTTTTTTTGATGGTTGGGAATGCTGTCCAACATGTCAGTCCAAAATTTCTCATAGATGTTCAATTAGGTAAAAAATACAATGACTGCAAAGGTCATAGCATATGATTCACATCATTATCTCCTAACTGAATCATTAATGGACCCCTTGTACCTTGTGCTGTATGTAAGCACCTGCATTCGTAATGTTTCCCCACTCATCTAATCATATTTTTCCTTTATTTGTTATCTGTCTGTAACCTCTGGGAAACACAGCACTCATGATTATCCATCACTTCTGTTTCACAGGTGCAGAAAAATGGGTCAATTGAAGGTACAATTGAACAAACTGAGTTTTTGACTGGCCTATCGCCTAAAACTGGCTGATAAATCAACATTAAAGTTAATGGTAGTGAATGAAAAATAAAATAAAGCGGACATACGGGAAGAAATGAGAGAGAAAATTATGATGGTGTTGGTGATAAAAACACAGTAAATCACCAGTGTTGTGCCAAAAGGATGAGGCACACTTCAAAACAGGAACCTCTGTCCACAGGTATGACTTCAGTTCTTGGCTTGGCCACTAGATGTCCTTACCCTGCTTCAACTTGCTGCAAGGACATGCCTCTGTAGTCTTCATGTTTAATTGACATGACCTGGATAAATATCACAGTTGAGGTAGATCTTAGATCACCTGCCAAGTCAGCGGCAGTGACACCAAAACGTATATCAGCCACAGTGCAGAGTAAGCTTGGAGGACTTTAACAAATAGGCTACAGAGCTGTGGGCTCATGCTCAGGTGGACACATGACCTGTGAGCAAAACCACTCAGCAGCAGGTTTGGAACTAAAGGAAAGCAAGAACAAACAAACAAACAAACCAATTATTTTGATTAAGATTCTGTTTGTGGCTGGTGGGTTTCACTAAAGCGAGGATACAGGAAGAAATCCCACCACAAAAATTCATTATCTGTGTACAAACATTCTATTAATCTATTTTTAAAATTAATCACTTCTGCACTGATGATGTTGCTACAGGACTGCGAGCCCAGAGGAAATGAGCACCATAATAGCATCAAATGTGCCTTGTCTTAATGGCCCGCATCAAAGGCAACACAACAGCATTGTCTCGAGCATAACACGAGTATTTGTGCCACTTGGGCAAAAGTGATTTTACATGAAAATGGAGTTTATTTATAAAGCTGTTTAGTCCTCTGTTAGTCAGCTATTGGCCATCCAGCGCAGGCCAAATTTACACACACATCTGATTACAAAATATGACATCACACGTCTGCTGATGAAGCTGTAAAGGCACTTTTTTGTAGTGTGAAATCAAACTGTCAGAATAATATGTGGAGCACCTTCACGTACAGTTTTAAAGCAGGGGTTCCTAAAGGGGATCTCCAAACACAAGCCTGAGGGGCTGTGACATGGTTAAGAAGGGGAAAGCAGGAAAATGTATTTCTGTGCTCCACATTTGTTTTTTAATCTTTGTGTTTTTACTTGTGAGTTACTGAATAATATTACGTCTTTAAAAGTAATCATATAAAACGCACTTGAATGGAATACTCAGCCTTTGGTTGAACTGTAACCTCTCGACAAAGTTGTGGCATAGTTTTTGTTTTAACCACTACCACTCACATGAAAATGATTTTAATGTTCTGTGTGCTGGTATCAGTGCCTAAAATGGGCCAGTACTCACCCGTACTGTATACCAGTGACAGGATTACCCTCTTCAACTAATGATGCGCTTGTGCTTGAGAACCAACAAAATGTTTCCCTGTCCGCCCTGCTGATGAGAAGCAGTCTAGTTTTGGCACCAATACCGAGCCTCCCTCGTCCAATACTTCTCCCTCCTGTCAGCTGCCAACTACTGTGGCGACAGTGACAATTTGCACCATGTGCTCGGTGCAACTGACTGCTGGATCTGCACCTTTCAGAAAAGGTATGATGTGAAGAAAGTTGGTCACCTGCAATTTACAGACCTGTGTGTTCACTACAGTGTTCACTAGGAAGTGCATATCCTTCAACTACAGGTCTTATGTGGAATCCATCTGCTGTTATTCAATTTTGAATTTCAAAAAGTGTGACAGCAGAGCATATTTTTTTAAATTGATGCATTGGCTGAGGCCCTAAAGACACACAGGCCTCACTTGTGTTATTCTCATGCTCTCCCTTTTCTCTGTCATTGTGATGTCATGCTATGTATATACCATTACAGCAAGGGAGACATTTTATTGATTTACCAGAAGATGATGGAATAATTTAAGTTTTCAGTACCACTCAATTTATGTTCGTTTGACAAACTGTACTTGAAGGTAACAATTGCTAAACAGACATATACCTTGCTCATACTCTATGGACTTGCCCTTGGTATTACTTCTCACTATCCAATTTAACCTGTAGGCCAACAGATATATTTTCAGCTGGATTTATTACTGCAAATATGTTATATTATGTTTGTGTACAATTTCAATAGCTGCATAAAAAAAATTGCATTAGTGTGAAAATATGTTGTATGCAATGTATGTGATGAAATGCATACAAAAATACATTTGAAGTGGGATATGTTTGCAAGATACGCATATTAATATAAATATATACAAGTCACCTGTGATGATCATGACATGTAACTGCTGAATTTGGTCACAGGTGCCCTTTTTGGTCCAATTCAGGCACTGACTGGTATGACTTATGACATGGGAGCTGGCAACACTGTTTGTAGCTAGAAACGAGAAAGAGATGCTGAGGAATAAAAGGTGACATTGAAGGCACAGATTTTACCACCCAGGTGCGTTTGGTTCAGACTTTTTGGTGTGAAAAGACCAGATAAATTCTACAGATTTGACTTCTCCACAGCATCAGTGTACCAGTTTCAGGCTTCACATCTTGATGACTTTATAGATCAGCATCCTGATTCTTTGAGAGAGTTGTTGATGTTAAATCCTGATAGAACTTTATTAGGCTTTGGAACAACATGTTTAATTTTACTGGAAGGCCCACTCTTCTTTCAAGACACAAGCAGGACTAAAAGAAGAATTTGTTCAGAGATCTGAAGAGGTGTAGGCTTTAAGGTGATGAAAGTAATGTTGACTTGGACTTTTTTTTTGCACTGCTGAATGTACTGCCAAGACAGGTCACATCCACGCGAAGGGAAAAAAACAAGTTGGCTGTTTTTCTGCTTGGTTGGGAGCCGAGGAAAGCCGTGATTTCTACTTTATCACTCACAGTTTAGGCAGGTGGGGCTGGCAGCATAGGAGGTCCACCCACCAAGCTGACCTGTGCATCATCATTGTTAGAGTGATTGCAGGCAGACGGGATGACTCCAGCGACATCTGACGGGTAATATCTTTCAATCAGCTATAGGGTAGACAAAGCTGGAAAATATGGCTCAATGCGGGATGCCTAATTGAAGTTAGGTGACAGAGAATTGGCAATTAAATCAGCATGACAGGTGGGGGAGAAACACAGGTGGGAGGGAACACAAACATGTTTTTCATGTAATTAGTAGGTGCAGGTGTAGGATCAAGAGTTACCTCAAAGTGACGCTTTCTCCTTCCAACACTGTAATGTTGTCCGGCAGGTGTCCGAATTCTCCTCCGTGCACGCTGGACGCTGCCAAGAAAAATGAGAGAACAGACCAGTGAGCATCCAATAATGGCACCAGACGCTCCGCTGGTGTTCATCAATCTCAGGTCAGGTGCTCGAAAATCGACTACCTCACCAAATCAGGCCGGGCGGGGACGCGCTCTGCATCAGGCTTACTTATTTCTGAAGGGAAAGTAATAAATATACTAAACAAAAGAGTCACAACGTCTGCACTGACCCCCGTACTTGAATAATGATTTGGTTTTACCCTGCATTCTGGTGGGATGCGCGTTCATTGAACAGCACTGATAATGAGCCAGGGGAAGAGGATTCACGCGGAGCTGCCGGAGCGTGAAATGAAGGGACAGCAACGGTAACAGAAGGGATGCTCATCCTGCCTACCAATACACACACACACACACACACACACACACTCGGAGAACAGAGGCACATGCTTACAAAAGCACAAACACACAAGAACAGACACATACTGAGAACCATTAGTTGAAGAGGAAATACGAACTTGGCATGTGTGAGATGTGTTTCAGACACTCAGGTGAAAAAAACACTTTAGAACAGTTTGAAGTCCTTTTTGTGAACTTGCTTGGACTGCAAACAAAGATAACCAAAGACCTTATATGCTGGCAGTGATATTGCCTACTGAGGCAGGCCGCTCCCCGGTAAGGCACCTGGCTCTGTCCATCTAAACTCCGCCAAATAGCAGCATGACACCAGCTACCTCAGCTATGTGTCTTCCCCCCATCTCTGACAATCTCTTTCTCCCTCTGCCTACAAAATGACCTCAATATCTCCAGTAGGCTTTTGCTGTGGTCTAGCCTTGAGGTTTAATAAATGGTGACTTTATGAAACGAAGCCGATGCAGTGAGGAGCTTAGAAGCACCTCAAGGTTTTTTAAATAGCTGCACAAAGTCAAAGACATGTTTAGCATGCCGATTGAGAATCCGCTCAGAGATGAGGCCCAAGATGACGGCACTGCAGCACTAAACAGACAGGAAATATGGGTTTTAAATTAAAGGAGGGTCTTGAGGAATCACGGTTTGATTACAAAGAATAATGAGAGAGGCTTCAGAATCATGATGCACATCGTGGATTGCTCATCAAAAGGTTTTCAAACTGCATAGCAAAAAGTCCTGAGTAGTGCCAACTACACTAAATAATAATTCATCATCTCTTAAATAAAGACTAATTATGCCTGCTCTCTTTTCTGCGTGTTTGTGAATGTGGTGTGCTTTGGCATATCTGTGTAAATATGCCATAGTAAATATAGGCTACATTCATGCTTGTGTATTCATATATTCATGTGTGCATGATTATGTGTGTGCACCAGTGCATGTGTTGCTCATGGTTGCATGTAAGCAGTTACAGTATCTGGCCGTCTGTTGCTCATTTGTGTGAATGTGTATGTTTGTTTGCTGACATACCGGTGGAGAACAAGAAAGGAGGACAAACTAATGACGCCTCAAAAGAAAACTGGCCCTGAAAATCTCCCGCTAAAAGCTGTAATCGCATTAATGGGTGCTGCTGCTGCCGCTGCTGCTGTGCTATCTAGGCCGGCCAAGGATCCCAGAACCGGCTCCATCTCTCTCTCTCTCTCTCTCTCTCTGAAAGCCTTGAAGGAGGGGCGCAGAACATTAGCCATTGTGTCCAGTGTTCAGCAACTGTCACAAGCTTTCATTTATCTGTGGTTTTTACTACAGAGTAATGTTGCATTGCATTGCTGTGCTCATGCTTCCTGTCTTAGACTCAGACAGTCCTCAGCTCAAGCCCTCAGCTGTTCCCTTTCAAGTGCTCTGTACTCTACACACTAGACTTTATTTAGGTTAATTCAATTCAGTTCCAAGGCTTGGGGCTCAGAGACGGGTGTGACATGCTGTCACAAATACACACTACCCCACATACGCAATTACAGACATACACGAAGGGAAAAGACGCTCTCGATCACATAATGTAACCAGTGGGACACCCACACGACGCACACATTTTGATTGAATGAATGATGAATGCGTACACCGAATGCTCCAAACAACATTGCGAAGGTTACAAACCAGCGGGGAGCAATTCCCATTTCCCTACTCAATTCCCATTTTCACAGCTCGATTGGCACCTCGCATTCTAAAACCTGTATCACCCTGCCTCCACTCCCAGACGCTGCACAACATGATAACCAGGTCAACACACTTCCTCTCACACTCTGCATCACAGGACCATTCACACACACACACACACACACACGCTAGTTTTAAGCACACATACACAAACACACTCTTCGATGAGCCAAACAAGCAGTGCTGACCGTTTGAGTTTATTGTGACAACAATCCCAGCAAAGATTTACTTCACATTCCACCTGGAAAATACAAATGTGACATCATCTAGATACAGCAAGTTGAAATACACACAGGGATACACTATGTCAAGCATCCCCTGTTCCCGATTCGCACACACACACACACCCACTACTGTGTAACCCTTTCTGACCTCTGTCCCTCACTCTGAATGCTCAGTGTACAGTGAAGTGTTGCTTTGACCTTGGTGCAGGTTAAAGTGCTCACTAAAAGTGAAAATGATGCGTAAGTCGACAGCCTGTCTAGAACAAACCGGACCAGCATGTATTTCAGAGGTGGGAGACCACTTCTATCCTGAGATAAAAACTGGTGTTCATCCTCCTTTTTTTTCACTTTTCTTGCAAAGCGTTGTGTGAGAAGCAATCATATATATATATTGTGTGTGTGACAGCTGGACTTTTTTGTTTTGACATCGATATAATAATGAAAATCTAAAGTAGACCACAGTGCATACAACCAAAGCCCTCAGGAATGTAGACTGGCTTTATGCCTGGAACTGGCTGCGGATTACAGTTAATGTTGATGACAATAAACAGAAACAGTCATGAAAACATACAAAAAGAAACTGGAAAGAAAATCCCTTATGGTTTTATAATTAGTGTGGCTCCACTCTCACATTTCAAAACTCTTGATACTACTGTGTTGAACTCCTTTGGCCAATCAAATAGCGAGCATCACTGATGCAGAAAGAAGACAAGACGGAGGAGCTGGTAACGTTAGTGTCTGAATACCTGTAGTTAGGACGCTTGCAACTTATAAGGACAATGAGAAGAAAAACTGGGCCTGGTATAACATTTCCACCAAATTTCAGGGCAGACCCAGAACACAGTGGAGGGAGTGCCTTGGGTCTCCCAGGGCTTGGCCTGCTGCCCTCGCAACCTGGCCCCAGATAAGTGGATGAAAATGGATGGATGGATGGATGGATGGATGGTAAACTGTCCAAATATTTGGTCATTTCAGTGATTTCCGTTGTCTTGCTTCTGCATTTATCAGTGTTCTGCCAGTTCTCACCTAAGCACCTGCCTGTCATCACAGCCGTGGACCTTATCAGCAGCAGCTGCTTTTAAAAACATTTAACTTTTTGGGGGAACGCTCTTGCACGCAGATGGCTGTCAGGGCGGTTACTGTGTGGCAGTGTGATAGCAGCTTATGTGTCAGCCTTGTAATAGTCTGGCAACCTGTCCGAGGTGTAATCTGCCTCTGATTACTGATGGATATGTCGTCAGTTTAGGATATTGGACAAATTCTGACCTGATGATAGTGCTAGTTGAAAATCAGGGGTTATCTAACTCAAAACCACAAATATCAACGTCATGCCAGTGTAAGATAAAAAGTTAAAGGTTGCCAAAGTCATTAAGCCAAAATGTCAAGACAATATATGGTATTTTAGTCTGGACCAAACTGGAGGACTGACTCTTTCTTCACTGGACCATTTCTCTTTTATGTTGATGAAAATGTGTTACTGTTTGACAATGGCCATTTTTATGGTAAAAAAATCAATAATGAACATCTGATGCATTACTTAATCTGATACAGTTGTTTCCAGTTTCCACGCTAGATAAGATTCTGAGAGCAGAAAATGTGTGTCAGGAATACTGTACATTGAAATTCTGTTGTTAAAATTGGCCAAAGCAATCAAATCAAATAAAACACTATAATGGTTATTGCTTTCGACAGATAAAGGAATATAAAGTGTGCATCTGCAGCATCTCATTAATGGGAGAGTGGGAGTGTTGGTCGTAAACATCATCTGGCTGAATGACAGCGTGTCTCAAACCCTTTGATGTAATCATCGTCATTTATCCCTTTCAGGCAATAAATTCAAATGTTGCCGGCCAAACACAACAGACATGATCAAACAGAACAATAATGAGTCCAGAGTGCAACCAGCAGTGTGCTTTTGCATGACCAAAACAGAAGCGTCAGACATCACTTTCAATTCCTGGGGTACTTTTGGCTTTATTGATCCCTATCTCAAATTCTGCTTTTTCTCCGCTCCCTCCTGGGGCTCAGCATGCAGGCTGATGAACTGCACCCACCAGGAGGATTCAGGAGTCTCGCCCATTGATACTCTAGAAAGAAGGGTGTGCTTGCCAACAGGGAAGCTTAAACCACCGACTACCCTGCAGACTCTAAATGCGGAAACACAAAAACAATGTGAATTCCAAAGGAAAGCTCTTTGTCTTTCTTGCTTTAGTGCAATACTTTACTAAGACAAAAATGGTTTTGTCTATGAGAGAGAAAAATCCAGAGCCTATATAAAAACACAACTGAGCTGAGAAATGATAAATAACCACATAGAACTATGCTGGTGGTGAACACTGCAGTGGCCCCTGGTGTTGGTGTGGACACGGGCATATTAAATTTCTCTGCTCACTGTTGTTTACAGCAGATACAGTCTGTAATGGCTACTGGTATCTCGTGTCCTTGCTATGACCTGCTGTTTTGGCACACAAAAGGAACCCCCATTTCCATACCATACATGCACACACACAGACACACACACACACACACACACTTTAATTCTGTCAAAATGACCCCCGTCGAGCCTTTGTCTGCACACAGTATTGAGCCTCGGGTCTAGATTTGTCTGACATTTTTAAGAGAATAAAATTTTATGGACATGCCTGAGGGATTACACACAGGAAAACACTGGGCGAGC